GCCCACCTGTGCGCAAAAATAAAACCAGCCCATCCTCTTCAGGTTCACAAAAATAAAAGAGAAAGCAACGTTCAAAAATGTCATTACGCCAATTTTTTTTTAAAAAAGATTGGAATGGGTACTGATTAAACTGTTAAGCATTTCTGCAATGATGATACAATACACATAAAATAAAGCATACATGCATACATTTTGACTTCTGAAGGCAGAGCCAAAGAATAGTAAATAAAACATATATGTCTAATGAATGGGTTCTAGGTCAAATTGAGCCTGAACTCTCTCTAGAAGATTAAACTGAAACTCTGGATATGTCAATAGAAGATAAGAGTCATGAAGGGAGCAGGAAAAGGGGAAGAATGAACATGAGGTGGATTAGTCCAATAAAGGAAGCCACAGTTCACAAGACTCTTAATGACAGCACTTTTTTGAGGTCACTGATTCATAACAGTTCCCGTAAGTTGGAAGTGACTCAATGGCATACAGTATTAACAAAAACGTATACTCCCAATACTATGTACAATGCGAATTTCAGCAAGTTCCATCTAGGTTGGGAAGGGAATTTTCTCAACCTTATTGTTATTCAAGATGGTGAAACAGTGACGTCTAGTGGTCACAAAGATTCTACATTGCTTTTCAAAACGTATTGGCTGTCGTAAATACTTGAGAGTCTGGGGAAGAAAATAAGTGTTGAGAAGCAAATTTAATCCCATATAACTCAGTTCATGTGAAAATAAACAAGTTCTTCGCCTAAATATGCACTTGTGTGATCTTAACCACTCTGTATTATTCAATGCCATCACTTGCCTTTGCAAGTTTGTCATACGCTTTTTATCCAAATTGTTGCGAATATAAGCTTCCCAATATAGGGGAAATTATTTACAAAAGCAAAAATAGAACCTTTCCAGTCTCTTATGAGATTAGTTAGCATTTTAAATTACGAAATTTTTTCCTTCGTATCTAGATACTATGCAAATTCAAATTAACAGATTTTGTCAGCATTTCACCCACCCTCCATTTCTCTCTCTCTCTCTCTCTCACACACACACACACACATACACACACACACGGGGGGGGTACTGCTGTAGTCCTGTCAGACCCTGAAAAAGACATCTTCCTACAAAGCTTCCACAAGACAGGAATGCAAGCATACAGTATTCCATCTCGGAAGAGCCTCCCTCATCAGAAATGCCAGCTCCAGGTAAGAGAAGGCCTTTGGGCAAAGTGGTCTGAGAAACTGCTTCTCATTGTTGCCCACTTGCTTTGGTCACTGTCTCCACATCTACCCAGAGAGAGAAGGCGTGTTGAATGAAGGTCACTGAACCTTCAATCAAGGCTCCCTTGCTTACCTCATACAGGTAGACACACTACAATAACAAGGAGAAGGAAAAGTGGGACAAGGAGGTCTGTTTCTTGGAAGAGTGCTTTTTTCTAGAGTTTTCAACATCTGGCAAGAATGTTGCCCAATTCTCATGTCCCTTGAACTTCAGATCTTGAATAATCAACTGTCCTAGTTCAGAAGCATACAGAGCTTTAAAAACACAGTTCTCCTGCCTCACTGTTCCCTGAAGCCAACTGCAGGGTGCCCCAATGCCAAAGGCTATGTAGGCTACACTGAGGGGATGGAAGGCTGAGTCAACCTTGAGCCGGCTACCTGGGATTTGAACCCCAGGTCGTGAGCACAGTTTTTTAGCTGCAGTACAGCGTTTTAACCACTGCGTCACGAGGCGCAGTTCGTGTCCCTTGAACTTCAGATCTTGAATAATCAACTGTCCTAGTTCAGAAGCATACAGAGCTTTAAAAACACAGTTCTCCTGCCTCACTGTTCCCTGAAGCCAACTGCAGGGTGCCCCAATGCCAAAGGCTATGTAGGCTACACTGAGGTTTAGCTTACTGAAAGACTGATTGATTGACTGACTGATTGATTGATTGATTTGATTTGATTGATCACAAGTGTAGACCATTTAGATGTTCATTTATTTATTTAAAGGCGAACCATTAAAAGACTAACGTGGGAAGTCTCTCATTCAAATCAAGAGCAGCCTGACCCTTCTGCAGTAAATGAGCAATAATAGCCAATCTTGACTGGTCATTGTAAGAACTGCCAGTGCCTCCTCTTTGCACATCATGCTAGCCAGATCTGTTGTCCCTTCCAGCATGAGCAGAGTATGCCAGAAGGCCGGGACACACAGGAAGGAACATCTGGGACTAAGGGTAAAACTGACATGCAGAGGAGTTGTGGAAGATGGGTCCTTTCATCTGGCATAAGACTATTCCTTTTACCTTAACAGTTTAGGATCTCAATGTTTTTGTGGAAAGTCTCTCCCAAAAAACAGCTACCCGGCCCACACATTCCTCACATATCAAGAATTCTAACACCTAAGGACACCAAAAAGCCAACATGAGGAGCTAAGCTTTCTTAGTCATGGTCCCTTTTCTCCGGAACAAGCTTCCTACAGACGTTTACTAGCCACCATCCCTCAGTTTTTAGGAAGCTAATCAAAGCTGAATTGTACAAAGCTGGCTTCTACTACTAATTTTTCCTGAGATGCTCAAGTGGCTTTTAATTTGTGTATTTTTATTTAAAAGCAGTTTCAACTAGTGACAGGATTTAACTTTATTTTATTGTATCTATTATATAGTGTTGTTATATTTTTTTTATCACATATTGTAAACCTCCTAGACAGTGTCAACACTAATGGGTCGGTATACAAATTGAAATAAATGAATATCTCAGCAGGATAAGAAAGAGTGGTGCTGTTGCAAAAAGCCAGGATAAGAGAAGAACCAGGACACAAAGTTACTGGATGTAACTGGAATACCATGAAACAGCCAGATGTCAGAGAAGTTACTCACCACTGGTTGTACTGCCCTGGGGTATTCTGGGAGTTGTAATCCCAAAATGTAACTTCTCCCACCTCTGGAAAGAACACTACTGTGATGATCTTTAAAGTTGATTCACTTTGAGAAATTTGCCTCCACAAGATATAGCAATGACTACCAAGGTGAATAGCTTTAAAAGGTGATGTGTGATAAAGTTGCTTTCTTAGGAGGAAAGCTCTCTGTGATCTCTTAGATTTGGTAATCCCATTTGCTTTTTTTTAAAAAAAAAAAGCATGAGGAGGACCATGCTGTTGTGCTCAAGTCCTGCTTACAAAGTTTTCAGAGCCACCTGAACTGACCTGAGGCACTTGTTTGAATAATGGATTGTAACTGATTTGCTACCCTTATATCCTATCTTTCCTCCAAGGTAGCATATATGGCTCTCTTCCTCCCCATTTTGTTTATTTATCATTTTTATTTATTTAAAGCATGTTTATCCCTCCTTCTTAAAAAGGAACCATGGCAACTTACATCATTAAGACAAATGTTTAAAGCTAACAGTTAATAGGCAAACACTAAAAAGGATCAAATGAATATGATAATTTAAAAAACCATAAGCAACAGCAAAATGCATTCAAAACAGTAAGGTAAAACATTCCATTTAGAAACCCTTCTACGGCAGCCAGTCACTAAGAGAAAGCCCTTTGGCTACTTGCAAAAGGACAGAAAGAGGGGACCAATCTCACCTCGTGTGGCAGGGAGTTCCAAAGTCATATCAGCAAGCCTGCAAAGTAAGTCAAGCCAAGAGAAACTGACTGGCTCAAATAAGTTTCATAGCTCAACAGAGATGAGAACCTAGACCTCTCAAATCCAACACTATGGCTACTCTTCCATGCATTATCTTGGATGACATGGGCCCTTGATCTGAGCTGGCCCAGCTCTATTTATCTTTGGTTTGAAAGGAAAGTAAATGTTTGATAACCCAACTTAAATAACTATCACTACCACTAATACGCTCCAGTCACTGTAAAAATTAGGGAGAAAGCCACTGTTGTAAATCAATTTAACAATTAGCTCTCCAAAAGTGATTAGCAAACCATTAATCCTTGCAAGCATAAATATTTATATTTGTTGATAATCTTTTCAAGTAAAAAAGTGACAAAACTGGGAGAATAAATAAATTGCTAGATAGAATGATAATTTTCTCTGAAGAATTTAAAACACTTTTATTTCTTTTCCAGTCTAATAGATCTCAACCTTTTACCACCATTGCATGAAATTTTAAAATGGAGGGAAAATATGACCCAAGAACAACACATGAACTTAAACAGCTAAGTATTACCTTACTCAAATTAAAATGTGTTATCTTTAAAAAAAATTAAACATGACCTCTAAAGGGGGAGTCATTCTTTCAGAACAGAAAGCGTCAATCTAAATTAATCCTCACCAGCTTATACTGCACTGTATAATCGGCAATTGCCTTTTTTAAAAAGCACATAGGTCACCACATGTATTAAAGCAACCAAATATGAAATTAAACTTTTCATGGGCTCTGCAAGACACCAGAATAAAGTCAGTCAGAGATGACTATCCAAATAATCACCCAAGCACTTATATTAAATCTAAACTTACGAGGCATGCATTTTATCTCCCTGGCTTCTTATGTATTAGGGTACAGCAAGTCCAGTACTTCTCCTTGTATGCGTCTCATGTGCTCCTTACAAAGACAGGTTGAAAGGGGCCTTAATTTTCTTTTCTGAAGTGAACAATGGCTCAGTTTGTCTCCACAGCACAGACTCTTGTACTCTGCCACATGCATTTTGCTTCAATCACCAGAACACTTGCTATCCATTAAAATATATTTGGGCTTCAATAGAGGTGTATTCACAAAGCAATTGTTAACAAGCTTTTTAACAGCTTAAATCTTAGGTGTAACTGAAATTGTCTTAAAGCCACTCCTTTTCAAAAAACTGATGTGTGTTCAGAAGCAAGAAGCTGAATATTTCCTGCCTCAGGGATGAGAACCCTTTTCATATACTGCTGTCTGACAGTTTACTTGACATCTAACGAAATGCACAGACAAGAATGACAGTCATTCTGCTAAATAATTATCTCAGACTAGAGAGCTCACAAGGAGCAGTGATGTTGCTTTGTATGTATGAAAAGGCCTTCTTGCATACCTCCTGCAGATGAACAGACATGTGTCCCAGTTGATCTTGCCGGCTTTTGACCAGCTGCCTTTCAGAGTGGATTTCTCGTTCTATCTCCTCAAGTCTCCGCTGTACCCGTTCTGACACCTTTCAAAAAGAAGGGGGGCAGGATCCAAAGAATAAATCCCTGTTAGAACTTTAAAGACAGAACATTAAAAACCCTTTTAAAAAATTAAAAATTAAAACTCTGAAGAAACTGCAGAGGCCTAAATGAAGATGCAGTTGTAAAATCCTCCACACAAGAATACTAAACTAGAAATTGTTCATCAGGGGCCAGATGAAAAAACAGAGGAAGTTAAACAATGAGAGGAGGAGACAGAATTCCTTAAAAATTGGGCCATAATTTTTCAGAGCTGCATCCAATAGGAGCCATGTTACCTGTTCGTTTCCATGCTAGCTTCAAGGTGATGGTGCTAGAGGGGCGGGGTAAAAATAGAATAAATAAAATAAACTAAACTAAAATAAAATAAAATAAATAAATAAATAAATAAGGCCCTAAACGGTTTGGGAATAAGGCCTAAACAGTTTGGGACCTCGATACCTGACAGAATGCCTCTGCCCGATGAGATCTGCCCAACCTATATGATCTTCCCAGGCTAGGTGATTGAGCACAAATCACAGTTTGTGCTCCCCTGAAACAAATGTTTAATTTGATGTTTTTGAGGGGATATCTTTAGCAGACACATGTCAGCTCTCTCCAGCCCAAGGCTGAAATTCAGAGAGATAGGCAGGCAGGCATGTATGTTTGTATACCTTGGGTGTGCATGCCTGGAAGAGGGAAATGCTGAGCAAGCCAGCGCTAGAAAATCCTTCACGTGAACAGTGGCATCATGTGAGCACTGACACATGCAGGAGAGGCCAGCGGGCCAGCACACGCCGCAAACACGCCGCAAACACACGAAGAAAACACACCCACCCACAGCCAGAGCGGAGGAGACAAGGGCTGAAACTGGCTCGCTGGAGGCAGGAACAGCGAGACGGCGTTCTGCATGCATGCCTCATTCCCCACCCCAGGACTGGAAGAAGATGTGGGCAAGTGAGCAAGTGGCAGAGGCTTCTGCAGGCTGCTTGGGGCTGGACGTCTCCCTCACCCTGCTTTTAACACACAGCAGCAGAGGCAAGTGGTTGATTAAGGCGGACGGAGGCTTCCACATAGGGGAAATTAATTTAAACGAGTTGATTTCACACCCGCACTAAAATAAGCAGACCGCTGGCAGAGGAGTTAAAAAAAAACTCCCTTTCACTCCAAAAACACGGTTCCCCATAAAATCAATCTGCTTTTACCCATGTGTTGTGTATTCACTGATTTTTACAGCAATTCAAAAGAGGCTAAACCCATATTAAATAGGGTTTTTTTAAAAAGCTATGTAACCACCTACTGGGCTTCTTTCTCCATTACCAAGCACTCCTTACATGAGGAAGAAACATGATATTAAAGACAATCGGTCAGAAGAAGGTCATTATCAGGGCTCAGCAACCACGTGCACAAGAGAGCCATTTGAGTGGAAGGAACTTCCCCTTTAGAAAAATACAGCACACAAATATAAATGATGTATGATGATCTTTGGGTAATGAAGACATGCTCAACAGCACAGAAGCCTATAGAAATTAAAACTGGGATGAGCAGTAGGATTTACTATCCTGTGAAACTCTTTATCATTCTCTGTAACTTGGAAAAGAAAAATAATGTTTCAAAATAAATCATGTACAAATATGATGGACATACATTATCAGTCTGGAATTTCAGCCTTTCTTGATAAAAAGAAATATTATACTTCTGTCTTATGACCCAAGGTAGTACGGTATTCCATGAAAAGACTCGGACTTCAATCTCATCATGCTTGTCACATAAAATATGCCTTGTGACAATGAGCGAAGACACAAAATCTGGGTCGTTACTTCCTCCATTGTGCATTTTTTCACAGAATACGCAAAGCCTTGGTCATCTATCATCACACTATTACCTCAGTGCAGCAAAAGCAGAAGCAAGTTACATCTAAATCCTGTTAGAATGTGTACCTGTAGAACTGGACTATGCAAAGCATTTAAAGTGATGTGAATGTCATTCGTGTGCATGTTGCGTGTGTGAGAGAAATGCGTACGTGCAGTATACCACCACACTATATTTCCACATACCATTAGAAGTTTGGTTGTTGCATTTTTAATGAAATTATAACATGAATTAACACAAATTACAATGAAACCTGAATTAAAATAAAATACCAAAAATATGGCTCGGTAAATCAAGAGCTTTATTAATGTGATCAGAAAAATTATTTGCTGCACTTAATTTTGCTTTATGAAAGAAAATCTCCCTTATTTATATACAGACACTACCCTCTAGTGGCAGGTAAGAATTAAATATCATATGCAAACATCAGACTGTTTTGCTGTTCCTCTGTACTTGCATTAAGTTCAAATTTAATGCAAATATCACAGATGAAATTCAAAACCTGCCATGAAATTTTATCAGTGATATGACAGCTCATTTTTCTATATGATCAGCATACAGTAATGGTAAGTCTGATTTGAAAAGAGAACCAGGATAATGACTAATATGCCTCTTTTTGTAAAGTGTAGCACAGGCCTTTTTTCCTATTGACAAATTATCAGGCAGAAATATAGTTTAGTACAGTACTTGCACTGACTGAAGCCAAAGAAGAGGATGTTCCATCTCTAAATTCATTTTCTATCATGGGCAGTTTGCTAGGGTTACAAAAACTATCAGCCTGAAATCAGTTTGACCCTTATCAACCACACGACAAAATCTTGCACTGAGATAGCTGGAGGATGTTTTCTCATACCAGAAGTAGATTAAGAGTTGTAGTCATGGTTAAAGTGAAAGAGTGCAAATATATTTTGTCAGCCTATTGCAAGTTAAAATGCTCTCCTGAATGGGACCAAACTACTGGCAATAAGAAATGACTCTGAGGGACTAAAATGTCCTGTATTAAATAAATAAATAAATAAATATTTTGTCAACCTATCGCAAGTTAAAATGCTCCCCTGAATGGGATCAAACTATTAGCAATAAGAAATGACTCTGAGGGAGTAAAATGTCCTGTCCTTGGTACCCGAAGGTTGGACAAAGTAGGCTGTTCTGTCTCCATAGCATGGATCCAAAAGTGCCCTTCTGATGGTCAGAAATTACATCCACTCATCGAATGCTCATTTTCCACCAAGCAGAAGAGTTTTGTCCAGAAAAAAAAATCTGAAATCCACAGTTCTTCCATTTGTTTCTCCTAGCCACACAGAAATTCTTTGAGTTTCAAAAGGAGGAAAGGGAAAGTGAGGGGGGATCGGATTGCTTGCCTGCCCTTTGTTTAAAGAATTGAGTTATAAAATTCCAAAACAATGTCTGGGGAGGGGTTTGAAACCATACTCTCCCCCAACAGGCCTCTTGCAGATTACAGCTATTTCTAAGAAGCTTAGGAGCCTCGTGGCGCAGTGGTTAAACTGCTGTACTGCAGCCAAAACTGTGCTCACGACCTGCGGTTCAATCCCAGGTAGCCGGCTCAAGGTTGACTCAGCCTTCTATCCTTCCGAAGTCGGTAAAATGAGTACCCAGCTCTCAGGGGAGGGGGGCAATGTGTAGCCTGCCTAATTAACTTGTCAACCGCCCAGAGAGTGCTTGAAGCGCTATGGGGTGGAATATAAGCGGTACGCTTTTCTTTTGCTTTTGCTTTTAACCTGCCCCCACAACAGCCATGAGACTCTGGGACTTTAATAAAAACATAACATTTTGAAACCACCCACTAGAACTTGATGCATAGCATAAAGAAGATGAATTATCATTGACTGTGCACTGTTTTTTTGTTGTTGTTTGGGGGGGTTGTTTTATTTCTTAAGTGGTCCAATAAAAGTATAATCTATTCCTGCATTTGTATTGTTTTGGGGACCATGCGGCCTTTTCCTGATTTTTCCATTTATTCAAGCTCTCTCACATGACTTTGCACAAACGTTTTTGAAAGAACTGTAGAAATTGTATACAGTAACTTGCATCTACCTTGATCTTAATATTTCTTACATTACTACGTTATCATCAAGAAATTTGTGTAAATACAGCCCCGAAGTCTTTGCACAGTGCAGTCTTCAACTGGCTTGGTGGAACAGCACTAACACATTTTCTCTTTTTGTTCACAGTTTTTTGGACCCAAGCCCATGTTTTGAAAATAATTGTGTTGTTATATATTCCTCCCTTACTGTATTTGGTTGGAGCAAAATGTTTTCTACAAAGCGATCTGAGCTAGATTGTTGTGAAAAGCATTCTCTTTGCTTGATGTTTCTGGAACAGAAAAAAACGTTTTAAAAGTATCAAGAAATGGATGATTAATCCATGATTACTGAAGGTTAATTCCCAATTTATTGGAGCCAAATTACTTTTCAAATAAGATTAGAAGATCTTCAAGCAATGATAGCTCCAAAAGAAACCAATCATTACAAGTATTTTGAAAACAGCATGCTTGAGTCAAGGGCAGTTAACAGTCTAAGCAGTTGTAACTATGGAACAGAGCTGGTGAGAACTGAAATCGTGATACACAATACTCAATCAACAGCAACTTCATTTGAAAGAATTGTTTAAAAAACAAGACAATTCCAGCATGGGCCAGGGTAAGAAGTGTTGAAAGAAAAAGTGTATTATAGAAACATTCACAGCCAATGGCCCCAATTCACAAACACCTCTACTCCATGAAGACAGGAGTTTCATACAAGAATCTCCCAATACTGCCTGGAAGGGCTTGAAAGCACATCAAGTTGAAAAGCACCACTAACATTACCCATCAAAATGTGTATTACTCTCATTTTTGTTTTATTTTTTGTATTCGGGAGGTGTCTTGCCAAGGGCAAGGGCTTCTTTTTTGATTCAGGAGACAGTGGGCAGACCAATGGGAGACAATTTATTAAAAGAAAGAGGAGGAAATCTACAATAGAATCAGTGCAGACTAATAACAGAAAGGAAACGAATAAACCTAATATAGAAAGACAGAGCAAAGAAAAAATAACAGAAAGGAAACTAATAAACCTAATATAGAATGACAGAGCAAAGCAAGTATATGACCTGAAGACTGAAGCAGCAAAGTGTGCTG